AGGAATTACCAAGTAAGTATACCCATCAATTAAATAAAGGGCGAATAGAAATGGCACCAAGAAGAAATTTAGCAACAGTTTCCATTATCTCAAGGTTTGGATGATCAAGAAGAATAAGGATCTTTAGGCAATGAGGATATTCTAATTGAGCCAAAATAAAATTTAGAAATCTCAGTCGTAGTGCATGGTAGAAGGGGCACTGCGACAAGACATGGGAAATCGTTTCGATATTATCATTTGTGCATGGACAACATCTGTCAGAAAAGGGCACACCCTGAAAGCGGCCAGATAATAAGGCCGAAGGCAATACACTGAATCTCGCCAAAGAGAGGGCTCTATTGCAGGTCATTACTGACACAAGCTGTATACCCGTTCTTTAGTAATGGACTATCAATAAACACTTATCTTCTGAAGAAGCCTTTATGTGTGCTGTGATCCAGCTAACGAGCCTGACAGTAAGGGATTATTTGCTGGAGGAGGCTAGCAGAAGTCATGAATTGTCAAAAATGTTGTCTGTGAATGCTAAAAAATCGGGGATCGCTTGACCACGTGATAATAAAAACCAGGTAAAATTAGCTGTAACTACCGAAATTGTTACATCTAAGCTGCTGCAATAAACCAGAGGATGAGGACAGGCTATGGACCTGACTCAGATTCAGCTCCAGGAAAGCACTACCGAAGGTAGCTGTGTGTACTTGTGCAGAGACCAGGGGTCATTTCCTGCGGGAGCGCACGGGAGCAGAGTTCCGGCAGTAAAGAGCCCAGGGGGCGGGCACATGCAACAAGCCCCACCCCTGCTCCTAGCAGCCCTCAGTCAGAGCAAGAAGCAGTCAGGTAAGTTGCAGAGCTCCCTCCGGCCCAAAACAGTCCAGTGGCACCTTTTAGACCAAGTTTTATTCAGGTACAAGCTCTCCCTCCTCTGCGAGGACAGATCTGCACGCCCCCCCCCCCCAATAGCTAGCAATCCAAAACAGTCCAGTGGAGCCTGAGTGGTGGGTGTTGCCTTCTGACACACTTCCGGTGATGTCAGGGGGCGTGGCATATGCAAATGAGTTATGCTAATGAGTTATGCTAATGAGCTCCTGCACCTCTTTTTCTGCGAAATGACCCCTGGCAGAGACTAATGCAAACTTCCCTATTGATGCAATTCCAGATTTCACTAACGGGTATAGAAGAGGGGCAGGTCTCAAGCGTGGCCTGAAGGCCAGCTTGTGGATAGACTGTGAAGAAGCATATCTTTTCCGAAGAACATCTGTTCTGATTAACTGGTTTATTTATACTTCGTAACAACAACAGCAATGTTGATATTTCTAAGCCAGTTTGGTGTCGTGGTTAAGTGCGCAGACTCTAATCTGGGAGAACCGGGTTTGATTCCCCACTCCTCCATGTGCTAATGAGCTCCTGCACCTCTTTTTCTACAGAATGACCCCTGGCAGAGACTAATGCAAACTTCCCACACATGAAACCCCCCATCAGATTGCCAACAACTGCACCCATTGCTTGTTTAGAAGGGCGTTGGCCTGGAAGACAAGAAACTCTTAGGATGGCCAACCTTCAGGTGGTTCCTGGAGTTTTCCTACTAAAAATGGCTGCTTTGGAGGGTGGACTCCTCTTCTTCTAAGCAAAGCGATTTACAAAATGCAGACCAAATGAAGGGCTACTAACAATAGTTCTTTTCAGTCATTGTCGCTAGAACCAATAAGCTAGTCTGAGAAAAGCAGAAGAAAGAGACTTAGTATTACCTGAAGTCTTAGAAACCATTAATGCAATTCCAGATTTCACTAACGGGTGTAGAAGACGGGCAGGTCTCCAGGTCTCAAGCGAGGCCTGAAGGCCAGCTTGTGAATAGATTGTGAAGAAGCATGTCTTTTCCGAAGAACATCTGTTCTGATTAACTGGCTTACTTATACCTCGTAACAACAACAGCAATGTTGACATTTCTAAGCCAGTTTGGTGTCGTGGTTAAGTGCGCAGACTCTAATCTGGGAGAGCCGGGTTTGATTCTCCACCTCCTCCACTTGCACCTGGCTGGATGACCTTGGGCAAGCCGTAGTTCTGTCAAGAGCTGTTCTTGAAAAAGAGCTGTTTCTGTCAGAGCTCTCTCAACCCCGCCTCCCTCACAGGGTGTCTGTTGTGGGGAGGGGAAGAAGGATGTTGTAAGCCTCTCTGAGACTCCCTTGGGTAGTGAAGGGCGGGGTATAAATCCAATCTCTTCTCTCTTCTTCTAAGCAAAGCGATTCACGAAATGCAGACCAAATGAAGGGCTATTAACAATAGTTCTTTTCGCTAGAACCAATAAGCTAGTCTGAGAAAAGCAGAATAAAGAGACTTAGTATTACCTGAAGTCAAATGCAGCATACCCTGTGATTGAGACTCCAAAATCCGAGCGACTAAAATAGTGGCATAAACCCGTTTGAGCTTTGAACGGATACTTGGAATACCTCACTAGCTTCACATGGGTCTGAAAGAAGACAGTTCAAATAAAATGACTGTGATTAAATGTTAATATACTTAAGATGGAAAAAGCTGCCTTTGAAATGGCAGGGCTTGGTATGACCGGGTCATGGAACCCTTTCAAACAAATGTTTGGCTTGCTTAGGCATTACATTGGTTGCGTTCAGACTGGCAGTTTGGCCCGATATAGGCACATATTACAAATGGATTAAACGGGTACGATCACACAGCCACATCTGTCAGGTGTTCCCTGGTCTAGAGATGTGAAGGCCCGGGAAAAAAACGGAAAAAACCGTGAAAAAACCGTTTTCCCCCATTTTTTTCCTGAAGCCTTTTGTTTTTTTCCGAAAAATTAGAAAAAGAAAAGAAAAGAAATTGATT